CCGGGCCCCCCCACCCCTTCCCTGCCCCAGCCATGCCATCCTGCCCCTGCACACTGCATCGCTCGCCTCTTCATACCCATCTCACCTTTGGGGAAGGTGTGAGGGGTGCTGATGGGGGTCCGTGGGTCAGACGGGAAGACGGGGCACTGCGGGTGGGACGCCGGAAGGCGCCCCCAGCCCAGCCTCTCTCTCTCCCCGCCAGCCCTGGCCTCTGGTGGAACCCTGCCCCTTACCAGCCTTGACAGCAGCGGGAACCTGGTGCTGGGGGCGGCTGGCGCGGCCCCAGGGAGTCCGGGCCTGGTGACCTCGTCACTCTTCTTGAACCACGCCGGGCTGCCCCTGCTCAGCGCCCCGCCTGGTGTGGGCCTGGTCTCAGCAGCCGCGGCGGCCGTGGCGGCCTCCATCTCCAGCAAGTCTCCTGGCCTCTCCTCGTCCTCGTCCTCGTCCTCCTCGTCCTCCTCCACTTGCAGTGAGGTGGCAGCACAGACCCCTGGAGGCCCAGGGGGGCCCGAGGTAGGGTCCAAGCCTGAGTGAGGGCCCGCCACGCCTCCCCTCCTCCTCCTCTGACCCCCGCCTCCGTCCCCCACCTGGGAAGAGGGCAAGGAGGCCATTGGTGGGGATGCAGAGGGTCCTCAGAGCAGGAGTGACGAGGGAGGAAAGACCAAAAAACAAGAAACAAAAAAACAACCAACCAAAAAGAAAGAAAGAAAGAAAAGAAAGAAAGAAAAGAAACCAACCAACAGAAAAAAGAAAACCAAAAATAATCACAAAGAAACCAGCTGCCCCAAAGGAACAAGAGGTGAAAAACAAACATTAAAAAAAAAAAAAAAGAAAAAAGAAAACCAAAAACAAACAAAAAATCCCTCACCAAACCGAACAAACCAAAAACCAGTCTCGAGCCAGACCTCAGTGTGCTCACCCTCACTGCTACGACACCAAATAAGAACCCCAGCCAGGGGCGGAGAAGCCTCAGCAGGGCGGACTCGCGGGCCTCTGGCTGCGGGGCAAAGCCTCCCGCTGCGTGTGGCGTGGGCAGAGAAGGAAAAAGAGAATGTGCCAGCCTCCCAGCCGCAGCCCTCAGTCCTGGGCCGGCCAAGGCAGGGAGGGCACAGGCTGGGGCTGATGGGGTGGGCTCAGAACCACCCACCAAATATTCCTTTCCAGAAGGTGAAAGAGAAAGGGCCTGAACAACTTTACACCAAATATTCAGTAGCTTCATCCAAAGGATGTACAGAATTTTTAGCGTTGTGCTCAACAGAATGTGTCCCTGTCATGTGTCACCCCCCTCTCCCCTGGCCCCCAGCTCTCCCTGCCCGGGCAGGGGGGGGTCTCGCTTTAACCTCCTCCCTCCCCCAGCCAGGGGAGAGTTCAGGGGAAGGCCTGGGCTGACTTTTCACCCCTTGTACCTCCCCCTTTTTCCCTTTGAAGGGTGGGCTAGGCCGTTTTGCCAAGTTCTAGCTCTCACATGTCCCCCCTCAACCCTGTCACCCTCCTCTGCTCTGGAATCTCCCCCCATCCCTAGTCCGAGGGAAGGTGGAAGCTTCAGGCAAGAGAGGATGAGGTGAGGGCTTTCAAGTTGTCTTTTTTTCCATCCTCGTCTGTCAGTTTCCCTGAAAAAAAAAAAAATTCATATTCCAGTGCCTATCCGTGGGATCCTTCACGTTCTTTGACATTGACCAGAAACCAAAAAGATAACTCACCTTGCTCTTCCCACCCTGTGCCCCTCCGACACTGGCAGATGCCTCTTCCTCTCCCCTCACACACATGCACACACGCACGCACCCCAGTGGTGGGGTTCCTCGAGATGGCGTCCCCATCAGGGTCCGTGTGGCGGGGATAGTGCCGTGACCTGTGGTCCCCATCCTAGAGGGCGCTGTGGTGGCCACCACTCCCACGAGACCTTCCTCAAGTCTTGGCTGGACCCTGTGTTTGCCCAGCCCTGGACACATCTCGACAGACAGAGGAGAGATGCTGCTGGGAGCCACGTTGCCCTCCTGCTGTTGTGGAGGCCAACAAAGTTTTGAACCAAAAAAAACAAAAACAAAAACAAAAAACCAAACAATAAATTAAAACTAGAAAAAAAAAAGAATTTATAGATATATATATATTTAAGGGAAAGAAGACGAGGACTCTTCAAAGGATACGAAGGAGCCGCGAGGGGGAGCCAAGCCCCTGCACCAGTGGTCCAGGCCCTTGGTCCCCGAGGCGGATGGAAGGACGGATGCTTCTTTCTCTTCACAAATACCTCATGGACGTCGTCTTCGGGAAAGCCGGACGGGGGCGGCAGGGGCAGGGCCTGTCCCTCAGCCAGGGCGGATGGAAGCGGGTGGGCAGGGCTGAGAGAGGGTGTCAGGGACAGGGGTGAAGAGCCCCGAGCTCCCCGCCCCCCCCAATCAACTGAAAAAGCTTTAAAAAAAAAACAGGAAAAAAAGGAATAAGAAAGCAAAAAAGAATGGACGAAGGAAAACTAACAAACTTTCGGGTGGTTTGATTCCTCCTTTGAGTTCTACTTCTGTTCTCTGCAGTCTGTCCTCTCCCCTCCGTCTCCTCCTTCCTCTTGGTCTGTCTCTCCCCCTCCCTTCCTTCTGCTTTCACCTCTCTTAATCTCCTTTCTGTGTCTCTCCTCAAACCAAAGTGTTGCTGTGAAGGACGCGAGCCATTGAAATCAGAGTGGCCCCCGCCCCTCGCTGGGCAGGAGCAGAGGGAGGGGAGAGCCCCGGGAGATGGGCAGTGCCGCTGGACACTTCCGAGGAGAGGCAGACAGAGCCTCGGACACCACCCCGGGCCCCGAGGCCTCAGCATTCTCTTTCTTGCCTCCCTTCTCCCACTCGGGAAATGAAACTGTTGGGCTGGGACATGGAGGCAGCAGAGGCTCAGCTGTTTCAGGGGTCTCGGGGTGCCTTGTCTGGGCAGTGGTGGAGTGGCTGCCCCTCCCACCCTGGCACCCATGGGGCCTGGCCTGCCGTCGACCCATCCTCGCCAGAATGTAAGCATCTCCGCTGAACCGACTCCCTGCCCTTACCCTACCTCTGAGTTTGTCCATTTTTATTTCCTGAAGAGAAGGGACTGGCTAGAGGGCCTGGGCCCCAGGCCAAGGGTGGAGAGGGGGCCAAGGGCTCCTGAACAGATAGGAAGGACATTTGAGCAGAGCCAAGTGAAAGGAATTACAACCAAAAACCCCTCTGAGAAGACAGGCAGCATGGAAGGCATGGTGGAGATGACTCAAACAAAAACTATGATTCTAGACCAAAAAAAAAAGGAAAAAAAGAAAAAAAAAAAGAAAGAAAGAAAAAAAGAAAAAAAAAAGAAAAAAAAAAAAAAAAAAAAAAAAAAAAAAAAAAAAAAAAAAAAAAAAAAAAAAAAAAAAAAAAAAAAAAGGAAAGAAAATCCAGGACTCACCACCACCCACTTCATCCTGCTTCCTCTCCATCAAGTCCTGCCACCTGGGACCTTCCTCCACCCCAGTGTGGGAGGAGCGGGGCAGAGGGGAGAGGAGGAAGCAGGGGGCAGAGATGGGGCTGATGCCCTGACATTGGTGGAGGGACCCCCTGTGCAGCCGGGGTGGTGGGGACCCTCCCCGTCCGACCCCCATAACTGGGAAAAGAAAAACAAGAAAAAAAGAAAATTCCTGGGAGGGGGAAAAATAACCAAATCCCAAGCTTTAACTACAGCTGTGAAACCAAATATTGGGAAGGGGGTGGGAGGGAGGGAGGGGCAAGTGTGCCCCAGGTCTCCCCCCTGGGCCCCCCTCCCCCGAGGACTCGAGATAAGGCACCAAATACCTCATAGAACTTTAATGTTAAAAAATGGAAACCAAATATCGTTGGCTGGGGGCCAGCCAGGGCAAGGGGCCGGGGGCCTGAGGGAGCCAGGGTTGGGAAGGTGATGGGGGAATTCATGCCCCCCAACCCCCTCTGCCCCTTTTCACTCCAGTCCCCCACCCCGTCTCGACTCCGGGAAACAAAACTATCTCATCGTTTTTATTTTGTGGTCTGTACAGAGCCTGTGTCCGTGTGTCTGTGTGCGAGCGAGAGAGTTGGGGGGCTGGGGAACTTTACGTGGGGTTGGGGAAGGAGACCCCAGGCTGGGTTCTGGGCTAGGTGAGATGTCTGAGGTGGGGGGCCAGGGGCTTGGGCTAGAAAGGATGATGAATGGGTTGGAGAAAGTGGAAGCCCTCTGAATTTCTCCTCCCCAACCCTGACCTCCTACTGGAGGGAGGGACAGAGACTGGGTCTACCTAATGGTGGGCCTTTTAATTGTGCCAAAAAAAAAAAAAAAATGCCAGTAACTAAAACACCTCTCTCTGTTCTCTTCTGGGAGGGTGGGGGTGGAAGTGGGAGGGAGGGCTGGGGGAGGGTAAGTGGGGGTCAGTGGAGATGAAGAACCCAAGCCTCTGTATGGATTGGGGCTAAGACCAGAAGGGGTAGTAAGGCTGTAAGTTTCCCGCACATCTCCTCCCTGGGGAAGGCCAAGAGAGGGTCTCCAAGCCCTGCACCCTGGGAAGATGGGGTAAGGGACTAGCCACGTAGTGGGGGACCTCTTGAACTGGCTAGATTTTCCCCCCTACCCAAATCCCAGGGTGCCTCTCTCTCCCTTTAGCCCAGGGTAGGGGGAACTGAGTGAGAGAGAGAGTGAGACAGACTGAGCAAGATTGAGACACGCGGGCCCCCACTGGTCTCTGAGTGGGAAAGGCAAGTGCGAGAGATAAAGGCCTCCAAGAGAAAAAGAAACAAGGGACTAGCCACGTAGTGGGGGACCTCTTGAACTGGCTAGATTTTCCCCCCTACCCAAATCCCAGGGTGCCTCTCTCTCCCTTTAGCCCAGGGTAGGGGGAACTGAGTGAGAGAGAGAGTGAGACAGACTGAGCAAGATTGAGACACGCGGGCCCCCACTGGTCTCTGAGTGGGAAAGGCAAGTGCGAGAGATAAAGGCCTCCAAGAGAAAAAAAAAACAAACCAAAGATTTAACCATTAAAAAAAAAAAAAAAAAACCCACAGACAACTCCGCTACCTTTTTATATGTTGGAAAAAAAAGTGAAAAAAATTAAAAAATAAAAATTAAAAAAAATACACAAAAACTCCAAGCCGCAGTTCCTTCATGCGGTTTGAACTTTGACCTCAGCAGTCTCCAAAGCAAGATGACGATGAGAAAGGTGAACAAAAAAAAGAAAAAATAATGTATATTTTTAAGTATTTGTCCTTGAGATGTTAACTCCTTGTTAAACAAACACAAAAAGGAGAGAAAAATCCAGAGAGAATTGTTGCTGGGACGGAGACAACTATTTACTATGTCTGTGACCCCTCCCCTCTGCCTCATCCTCCTCTCCTCTTCCCTTTCCTCTATCCCTGCTGCCCCTCCCCCAGCCTGTCCCCCAAGCCCAGGGGCTCAGTATTTATTTATTTATATAATTGCAGGGTGACTGGGGTCCTCTCTCGACAACTTGTAGAGAGGTCCTTTGAATCATGGTAGGGTGGGGAAGGGGCAAGGATTCTTTGGGGAAGAGCAGGGGCCTGATCTTTGGTCAGTTCCTCTCTGCTAGCTCCTTTCTGGCTTCTTACCCCACTGCTGCCACCATCTCCTCCCAAATCCAAGGCTGCACTAGGGCAAGGTGACGATCCCACCTTGTAAAGACCCGATTGGCTTGGCCCTTTTTGGGGTGGGTGCCTCTCTCACCTACTCATTTGAAAAGCCAGGTTGGAATGGGGATGGGAAGAGGTGGCAAGTAGTGAGTAAGGGAGACCAAGAAGTGGCATCTGGAAATTGAGTAGGCCCTGGAGGAGACCTGCCTCCCCTCCATTCTCAACAAGTTAGCC